AACGGAATAACCTCTTCTAAATCCATGTTGGTTACTTGAAATAAATTGTTCCAGATGTCGATTGACAAATGGATATAGCAGCGCCTCGAAAACCTTGGATGGACATGACAAAATGGAGATTGGCCTATAGTTTTTGATATCCGTTTGATCTCCTTTCTTGAATATCGGTACAATCCTGGATTTTCTCCATATAGTGGGAAAGAAACCCTCTTCCAGTGAAGCATTGTAGATCATCATTAGAGTACGAGCTAATACAGATGACGCCATTTTAAAGAACACTGGGGAAATCTGATCAGGACCTTTTTCAGGGTCCAAACACCTAAGTTTGGCCGAGACATCCCGCTCCGTGAAGTGAAAGTTTCCATTAAGCGCATGATGATGAATAGGCATAGGATACAAAGGATCAACACTCATCGTGGAGTACACTGAAGAAAAATGAGTGGCAAAAAGTTTTGCAATATCCGAACCATTGTCAACAGTTACGTTTCCTAGGTGCATAGTGGCTGGAAATGATATGTTATTGTTACGTTTGTTTTTAATATATTTGAAAAATACTTTAGAATTGTTTTTGATTGCCTCTTCAATTTTTCGTTTGTAATTACTATAACAGGTATTAAATAATTCATTGCCTCTTGCACGTAAAATTTCGTATTCTATCCGGTCGCGAGGGTTATTATATTTATTGTATCTTTGCCTAATTTTATCTTTTTCTTTAAATAATTTTATCAGTGTCGCACTAAACCAGACCGGGTGATGCACCCTTCCTGTTTTACACTTAGGCACGAAAAGTTCGATTACATTTTTAAGTACGCTATAAAAAATATTCACCATCGCCTCACAATCGCTACACTTAGAGAACATGAAATCCCAGTCGACACTCTTTAGCTCCCCCACAATTCTTTCATAGTCTGCCTTGAAGTAGTTATATTTTGTAATGGTGTTGCTGCGAAGACAGTAACGATCCGAAGAGTCGATAGAAAGAAGGACACTCGGGTGATGGGCGTCTAACTTGCTTAATAAGTCCGAGGGAGACGTAACTGAACAATCTAACTGTTGCTAAGGATCAAATCTAAAATTCTTCCATTGTTATTTGGTAAGTTGTTGTATTGAAGTAAATTATTTACGTGTAAGAAATCAACTAAAGCGCATTCCATTTTATTTGTATAGTTGGAAGGGGACATATACCGTTCACCGGTCCTCTCGTACCAACTTATTCTGCCCTGGTTAAAATCGCCGAGAACGACTGCATCAGCAACACCATTCAATACTTTATTAGTGTTTTCTAAGAATGCATTTAACGTGTCAAAGTTAGGCGGAGAAGGCAAGTACACAGCACAAATCACTAGTTTTCTCTGTTTAATTTTTAAATCAGAATCTATTGTCAACCAAAGATCCTCACATGCACTTTCCCATTGATGTATTCTTGAGGACCTAAATTTACGAGAAATCGCAATCAATATCCCACCACCATCCAGCTTCGGTTTGTCTTTACCTTGCTGGCAAGACGTTGCACGGTCCCTACGGTAAACCACATAACGATTGTCAATAAGCTCTCCACTTAGAATACTCGAGTTAAGCCAAGTCTCGGTCAACACTATGACATCATACGAGCACTGCAAGATATTCTGGTATATATCGTCCGTTTTAGTTTTTAAACCGCGGACGTTCTGATAATATATATTAATCATTTTTTTATATATTTACAATATAGTTCGCAATAGTTACTTCCAGGATTTAAATTATGTGACATGTATGTGACTAATTAAGTTAAAAGTTTTATACATTCCAAGTTTCGAATGAGTATGGGTGAACTAGACTCATTTTTTCTGACAAAAATTCGGCCATTTCGGACCCAGACAAACCTATACTTCATGTCTTTAGCTTTCTTTCGGGCGGCGGTATGGATGTTCTTGTTCGCCGGTGCAAGATGCTCAGATACGTAAACGGGCACACTAGATCCAGCCAAACCCAGGTGCTGAGAGTTCAACCTCTTCTCTGAATTTTGCCTATTAAAGTTGTGTACAGCTGCCAACAAGGCATCACGCTGACGAGGACTCCTCAACTTTACAACGACAATTCGCGATCTATTGCTTTCCTTGTCAATCTTAGCCACCCTCGTAGCATGTAAAATGTCATCTTCCGCTATGGTAACGCCAACGGTTCTAACCAATTGCGTCACGCAGGTAATCAAATTTTTCGTTCTATGCTCTGGTATACCGTGAATTTCTACGTTGTTTTCTCGTTGGTGCTGTTCTGCCAGGTTAAGTCGTGTCGAGAGCTCGCGTACCGTTGTGGAGAGTGCTGAGTTCTCCGCCACCAGCCTGGTTATCAATGCTGAGTTTTCTTCTTGACACTTTTTCAAGGTCTCAAACTGGTAATTAAAAAACGACAGGGAGTTTCCAAGTTCCGTGATTTGTTCCATGATTCGGTTGAGTTGCGATGAGACCGCGTCTTCCACCGCCCTTGCGATCATATTTGCTGTATCCTTCTTAAAGGAATCCAGAAACTCTCGAAGGGCACCGTTTGTCACTGGTGAATCTCCATCATCCCGCTTGGAAATGGACACAGGTCTGGCACGTAAGGTGACGTTACTTTCTTCACTGTCACGTACATTCTGTTGACCCCGAGTGCTGTCCCGAATGGGAGTGTTATCGCTCGTACGTTGCCTGGGCCTGATCAAAGAACAATCTGGACATATCCAAGATTTTTTATACTCAGCTGAGAAATTCTTTCTCTTTTCCATTGGATACATACATTGCGTGTGATAATTGTTATTGCACATAGAACAAACCAACACCCCCGCAGATGCCTCTTTGCATGAGTTACAACAAGCAAACTTCATTTTATGAGCTTTTTACACATGCCAAATTTAACTGTTATTCCTTAGTTGCACCGCAATAAAGACCCTCGAACAATTACTCTTAATATTTACTCTTAATATTTTCATATACTGAAAAATTAAATATAGTTCTTGTCGACGAAAGCATGTTTTATAATACGTTTATCAGGATAAGTAGAGGATAAATATTATCAACCGTGTGTATGCAAAGCTTTGTTAACAATACAACTAGATAACGCCTTGCATACTAAAACAATACCCAAATATGGCATCATACACTGTGACAACCCAGGAACATAGGAACATACTCTGTGGTATTATACCACAGAGTATATTCTGTGATAATACTCTAGGCGACAACTGAGTTCCGGAACTGGGTAAGTATTAAGTCGCGTTGTCAATTTTATTTTTCTCAGTAGAATATACATAGAATTATATATGCTAATCGTACAGCGATTAGATAAAAAATAAATTGTGTGTTGTTAAAATGAACTTTTTAACAACACACAATTTATTTTTTAAAGATTATTCACTAAATATTTTTGCTAAATAATAATTATTTATATTTTTTAATTAATCAACTTCTTTTCCCCAATATTTGCAGTCTGTCAGCCAGTTGTACAAACGTCCATTAAAATTATCATTAGTTTAAAGCGATATTACAGCCATATAAAATAGATATTCATTAGACCTTAAAGGCGTCCTTAAACCGTATTGGACGTTTGTGGAACTGTTGTGTGTCTCACATCAAATGAAATACCAGTCAGTGCGCATGGACGTTATTTGTGGGTAAATTGATAGTGAAATTATTTAAGAAAAGCACGGAAAACATTCAAAGTGCAAAATGATTTTAAGGATTTACTTGATTTTACGCAAGATACAAGGGTTATTCTGTATTATTTATTTATGAGTTTGACTATAAATAAATAATACATTTTTTTTTATCCCAAATTGATGGTATATTTCAACCTTTATCTTTATTAAAAATTCAATCACCGATTTAATTCAGTTTTATGATTTCAACTCAATATAATTATAAAACATCCAGACCGATATAAACCTACATGTTCATGCACGCGGCTTTGTAATCGAGAACATTAACCACTACACCAAGTTGTTTTCAATTAGTGTTCAAATTTTTAGTAAAAAAATTGTAATAGTACAATAACTCCATGTATATGCTATCTTAGAAATTTATTTGGTCAAATGTTTGCCAAGTTGGCGCTTCGGTTGGCTCAGAAACAAAACTCTGTTATTTTATTGAAAATATATTAATTATATACTTGCAGAGAAAAAGTATTTCTTTAATATTTAAATGTAGATAGTATGTAGAGCATAAAAACTCTTTGATTTTCTAATACTGCTAATTTATAGATATCAAATTATTAAAAAGGTTAAATATTAAAAAATGTGTGATGTCAAATTAAATAAATTATAAATATAATTAAAAATACATATTTTGAAGAGGATTGGATGAAAAAATAACTTTAAATTTTGTTTCTTTATTTTCAGGTAGGAATTTTATTAAGTGTAATTTAGGTTGAAGTAATAATATAATTTGTTTTTGTTACTTACAAATAAGTCTTTATTTTCAGAGCAACACATTGAGTTCACATTGTCAATCCTTTTAACTTATATACATTGTAAAAAGACATTTACAACCCGATAGTTATTTTTGCAGTTTTAATACGCACTGTGGCATCGTAACACGTCCGAACGTTGGCGCTGTCACAAACAAACTATAAAAAAATAAGACCTCACTTTGAAGTGAGGCGTTATTTGTTCGGTCATTTCTGAGACTCGGACCGGGCGTCTAGTTGTATAGTTGATCGAAGATGTCAACTCGTCATTAACAAAACACTTCGTGTCGGCAGGCGAAATTCTTACATTTGGCTCGAACCAATACGGGCAACTGGGTGCGGGCGATATATCGGCTCATCACCGAATCGTACGAGTACGCGTGCCTCGAGCTTCGTCGGTAGCCGCCGGTAGCCATCACACAGCTGTACTCACTAGAGACGGTGAATTATATACTTTTGGATGCTATCAGGTTAGTGGTGAACATACAATTTGTTCAAATAAAACTTGGCATCGTATTTGTAGCAATTGCTTATAATAAAAAATGCATTAGGAAAAACAGATAAGCGAAGAATTATAAGGAATGAGTGTAAATATATATTTAATCAATTTATCGTTTACTTAAACCGAAGCTTGTGTAATAATTTAGATAATATCAAAATTATCGATATCTCTCTTAGATTATCCCGAAAAGCACATCTAACGATGTAGACAATTAATTATTAAGTTCTCGTTTAACTTATTTAACTAAATCCTATCCCATGAAGTATAATTCAAATTATAAATTTTGTGCTCCTACCTTCATCTAGGTACCAATGGTTATACTATGATGCAACCGTGACTAACGTCTTAACATTAACATATCTCGAAGGACACGAAGGATATTTTTGTCCAAATGCCCACTTAACATAAATAAGTAAAATTACTGATATGTTCATATTGTTTCGAATCATAATTGTAACGTCTAATTAATTGTGTATTAATGTATCAGCAGGATTACGTGCGGTGCATATATGAAGGTAGATCCGTCGCGGAACGTTAGAACTGATATAAGACTTAAAAAATAATAATAATTAACTTATCAAATTCAACCTTGCACACTCGACGATTGACAACGATGAGCGGGTCTATCGAATATACAAATACATACTTCTATTGATATCTGTCAGAGTTTCATTGAAGTTGAAGTTTCAACTTGACATGATTTGTTTTGGTAACAGAAAGGTTCCCTTGGACGGCCACGTCTAGAGGAGTCTGCTCGTAACGACCGAAGCCTCGTATGGTACGCGACTCCCGGTAGAGTGCCACGGTTGGGACCGCGGCACGCGTGCAAAGCGGTATGGGTCAGTGCATCCGGCGACCAGACCTTTGTTCAGGTCTCGCAATCGCTAATCAAGACAGATACGCTATTTAGTGCCACTGTCACCGCCAACGGAAACTCTATAAGTACGTTTAATATAATTAGCTTTAATTAACTGCTTGGATGCAGTCCTTTCTCGTGGAATCAATCACATAGGAAAAAAGATCATTTGCCAAATTAAGAATAGATAAAATAAAATGGTGGTTACTCGTACCATAAATACCATGTACAACAACTTTTGACCGGTATCAAAGTATAATAAACTAAGAATAAACGGTCGAATTCATATGCACACGGAGACGCAAGCGTTTACATGGATTCTTAGGGAACTCGAGGTGCGTTCCGTTGCGCTTGCCACGACAACAAAACTAGGCGTAATCATGATTCAGTCCTAAAGAAGTTGAAGTCCATAGACAGCAGCAAGGAGGCAGGCCCTGATGGAATTCCACCTGTTTTACTTAATTATTTTCAATAAGTAATTGAGCAGTGGAGTATATCCTTCAATTTGGAAAACCGCAAAGGTCGTGCCCATTTTGAAATCTGGTTACGAAACCATTGTAACAGTTTACTTAAACCTTTATTAACAATAGTTACAATTTTAAAATTACTTTAGTCATGATTATGTAAACCTAATCTAACAACAACAAAAAAAAATAACAATGAATAAAAATATAATACTTGTATGTACAAAATAAACTTAACTATCTTATAATTAATTAATAACAACTGTAAATTAAATAAATTAAAAAATATATTTCAAATAAAATTAATTATAAATAAATTAACGTACAACTATTGTTCGTACGCTCGCGCATCGTCGACCGAACACAATTTTTATACTACCGCAGAGTTAAGACGGATTCTCGTCATTTAATAGTTTAAATGACGAGATATTTCTAAGTTATTTTACTTGCTACTGAATTCCAAATCTATAATTTACATATTAACTTGAATTTAAAAACAGTTATTGTGCTAATTATTCACCATATTAGGGGTGCACCCTTGCGGCAAACAATATACGGATACACGCACCTAAAGATAGTATTGTTATGACCAGTGACATTAAAATAAAAAAGGGTAGATAGGTCATATCAGTATTGAAACGATATCAAAAACTGTCCCTAGCATATACACACGCACATGGCACGATACTCTCCACTTATTCATAGACTATAATTGAACATATAACAGACCAGACGTATAATGATTATGATTGTTAATGCATGTTTAATGCCTACTTTAACCTAAACGAGTTAAAGACTTCGATCAAAAGTTCAACTTAAAAATGTTGATGTCTTACATTATTATTTCTCCTTTTCGTTAGTATATATATTATTTGCTCGGGTATAAATAATGAAGCTTGTCTAGCGATAAAATAAACCTGACACTGATATATAATATGTATTATAACACGAGGGCTTCGATAAACATCGGAATCTGAGTATTTTTTTAGCTCCGGAGTTAGATTTGGATGACCCGAATTCAAACGTTGGAGTTTCAGAATTTCAGTCCATATAGATTTTAAATGTAGAGTGTGGGCACTACAGTTGAATTGTCTATGCTGTTACTTACATAATCTTTGACAGATCTTTTTCACAATTTGCAACCGGAGTATTTACTCTTTCTTTTTATGATACATTATTTATTTTTCTGATTAAAATACAAATCAATTAAAAATGTATACTCACGAATAAAATGTGACCCCTTGGTCTTTAGACAATTTACTTATGTTATTTCTACAGTTTCGCATAACACAGGATGGCATTTTAATATGATCATAGTACATAAATCCACAAAATCAACGCTTTCGCCAGACTGCGCCCAGGTATACTAATTAATATAGTTTTAAGGTGACATTTTTTGAATTCAAGTAACCTACCTACCCTTTTTATTGTGATATCATTGTTATAACACAAAACGTTGTCGACCAATCGACAATCGGCTCTGCCAATCGATAAATGTATGCTTGACTTTGCCTTTTTTGTGATAATCATACAATCTAATAATGTTTTATTTACTATAGCAATACGATTCAGATAGCTGTATTTTTCTATTTAATCTAAAGTTCATTACTAAGTAGTAATTGTATTTATGATTTGCGTGTATCTAAACGCAAATTAATTTGACTTTTGCGATCGTAGTTGTAGTACTACTTTACTCTTTGCGTAATGTCAAAACCTAAAATATGTAAATACCTCTTAGGAATAGCTTGATAAAATAAACGTACTATTTTTTATGGCATATTTTGTCGCATGTTCTTGAGAATTGTGTACAGCACCAATATTTTATATTTATTATAAATGTAATTTTTACAAATTTATATTAACTGTACAATTTAATTGATTTTATGGGTATGATCCGGCCATATTCTTACAATGTTGTTTTACTAACAAGTTTTAATAATAAGACAACCTTAACGCTCCAATGCAGAGTAGGTATTTATTTCCCTGAAATGGTTTAATTTTCGCTACGGTATTATACTGTGCCGGTATTTTGTATATTTAGGAAACTTAAATACAGTCACTAAATACTTTTAATTATGTTTACCTATAAAATAAATTGTTGTAAAATAATATTTTTTGTTGACTACTACCATTACTAGTTACATCGAAATATTTAAAATGTAACAGCTTTATTTTATAAAAAGGGTTAGTTGAATATAAACCACAAATATTTTTACCCTTGAGTTATCGTAAATAATTATCTTATTTTTTCAGTTATATTACCAAACAGGCCAGAGCACACATTCAAATGCATTACTATAAATAAAGCTGATGGCTCATGCAATGCCTGGACTGGTTCCGAACAAGTAGACTTCGTGAATTCACTAGCATGTTTAGACCCTCTCTATGATGTTCTTTGGTGTTATCAACCGCAGATGAGAGTGATGAAGTGCTACAATATTCTAGCATTCGACTCTCATAAGCTTCACAGATGCTGTAATAATGAACCGGAGGCGTTCCCATCAGATACAGAATTCGAATACCCCAACTATGGATCTATGAAGAGATTGGATGAGTTTAAGAATTTACAAGTGTTAGAAACAACTATATTATACGATGAGAAACCACCTGAAAATATTGCTTTATCGAATATGTCAGTTCTGAATCAAGAGTTGGCGATACCTTCCACTCCTGGTTGTTTTGTTACGAGGATGCATGCAGCTTTACACTTGCTTGGCTGTTTGGATTCATTGACTTACGCACATGACACTAAGTACGCGCCAATTATTTGCTGTTTAATTTGTTACTCAGTAATTGTCATAATATCTAACCATAAGGTCATCTTTAATTCTACCCAGAATAGCTAAAGCATAACTCTATATTTTAACACACAACACTGAATTAGTTGTGGATTGATAGGTGTTGATGACTGCAATGTCAGCTTACTACAACGACTTAATATCTTTCGAAGCACAGAGAAACTTAGATAATACATTTTTGACCACCCATCTCATGACCAGCCTGGTCAACCTGCCCAAACACAGATTGATTGCACTAACTATCGAAGTTCTAGTTACTAATACACTAATAAAACCATTATTCTACCAGGCTCAACCAAGTCGAATGTAAGAGAGACAGTGCTTCGTCACCGGTAGCACCGGTTAAAGAGGACTACCTTACTGTAAACCGATTTGACAATCACGGAGGTGGTTGGGGTTATTCTGGCCATTCTGTAGAAGCGATACGTTTCATGTGCGACACAGATATCTTATTAGGTAAGATTCATAGTGACAAAATTATGTCCAGAGTAAACAAGAACATTATGTTTAAACTTACATAGTTTAGTTGCAATATTTCAGAAACAAATTAAGGCTTTTAGGGTTCTTTGCAAACTAATGCTAATTTTATTCAAACCAGGTGGTTTTGCCTTATTTGGAGGGCGTGGTGATTACACGGCGAAGATAAAGTTGTTCGATATCGGATGTGAGGGAGGGGATCAAGAGGGCGATGGGGAGTTGATGGCCGAAAGCGAGGAGGTTATGTTCGAATGCGCACCCAGGGACCGGTATCCTATCCTCTTTGATTCTCCTGTGCCACTGGTTGTAAGTTTAAACCAATACTTGATCTCTAATTATTAAGTATAAATTGGAGTGTTGGATGGGTAACTGAACAGTCTAACAACATCCGTTAGACCGTTCATTCGTGTGTCATTGAATACAAATAATACTTTTTGTCAAGCACGTTCCCATTACGGTCATAGTATGCTACGTTGTAGTGGACTGAAAGCCTTTGACTTAATTCCATAATACAGTTACAGTTATTCGCACAAGTATTGCATAATATTTTTAAGTGTTTCGATATTAGAATCTTAATACACGATAGAAAATAGAGAGTTTTAACTACCAATAAAACTTACCTATTATTTTTCCTAAAGATATCCGGAATCCATCTTGAGAGTCAAGCATCATCCTTTTTGTGACGTTTCCGGTCAAAAACACTACCTCCCCTCTTACTTCCGGCGCCTGTGCTGCCATCTAGTTTGCGGGTAGCGAACCAATGACTTTTAGGCACGAACGCTTACCGTCATTATACCTACTCTAGATGCACCAGGTAGAACTTACCTGGATTCCGGATATCTTTAGGAAAAATAATAGGTAAGTTTTATTGGTAGTTAAAACTCTCTATTATTTGTTCCGTTCGATATCCGGAATCCATCTTGAGTGATGTGTTTGTTATCTCCTGGTGAGTGCCATTGGTGACGCTATAATGTGTTGCAGGTATAAAAAGTCAAATGTAGTCTGATGAGAAAAAATAATGCATATTATAAGTATATTATGCTATTACCTACATAGTACATATATTATGCTGTTACATAACAATGCAATTATAATAATTATTCAAGTATTTCGGTAATCTAAGCTAAATAAATATTGGCTTATCTGTTATCGGTCAATATCATTAATTAATTGAATGGAATAATAAAAATGTAAATACATAGATATCGGAATTTTCTTGATTGTCCGATTTATCAGTTTTCGATAGGACTTCCTAAAAATATGTTCTTGGCGCCAGTTTACAGTTTCAGTAATTTATCCATCGGAAACAGTTCCAGTCAATTTAGAGATGGAACTGCAGATGTAATAGACCCTGAAGAATCTTCTACATTATGTGCTTCTATTTAGCATTTTTGAGAACAGAGTAGTTAACTCGTGAAAATTACTTCTTTTTGGGGCTCTTTCAATACAAAAATTGATCGCGTGTCCAATACATGCAATCGAATGATTAGTGTCAGTTTATCATTTCTGTCCCGGCTGTCATAATTACTATTATCTGTTTTTAATACAAAATGGGGCCATAAGACAAAAAATCATTTTCGTCTCTATACTTCAAAGGTTAAAAGGGTTAAATAATGGATTCTGCGACCTTGAAGATTGTGAAATTATGCTAAATTTCTTGCAACTTAAATAGAGTCAATTCTGCCAATTTCTACGTAAAATTTTCAATGTACTATATACCTGAAGTCTAATATTATTTGTGCAATGTCTTCCTAACAATTCAATATTGACAGATATATTTATTATTTTATGATCTAGTAACAAGAATGTGTCATAAAGGGTTGTAGTCAAAGCGCTATTGACCCTCCACCATTACGCCGACATTAGCAGAATTTCCCTACCGGGCACTTGTTATTTGCAGAATTAATACTAGTAGATATTTATAGTCGCTTTACATTAACTCGATAGTTTCAAGATTTTCTTTATTTCATTTTATGCTGCCCGACTTTTAAATAAATTTTCTGAATTTCGGGGGATGAACACCTGTTGCCATACCTATTGCAGTATTTGCGGAAACAAATCGTCAGCCAAGACACTTTGTCCCATTTTGGAACAATCATAATGTACTTACTTGCCTTGACACTTACTGGAGTCGAGAAAGTATTTGCGGAATCATGTTTGAATAAGGCCAGCTTGCATTTGCACTGATGACGTCATGCGTTATGACCTATTAGCTTGCTCGTCCGTCACATCCATTGTCATGAACCTGGGAATGACGTGTGCTTTGGTCGATGGAATAAGTTCACATCTGGTGTACATTGGGCTGCTAGATTTAGTATTCAGGCTATGCATAATTTCTGAATCTGCCTTGTTAGTGTCATAATTACAATAATTTCCTAGATTTGGTCCCCCATCTTTGTTTATGTACGGGAATCAGTACAGTTCTCTTAGCATTTACATCTAGGCATTCCGCGAAATGAAGACTCGCGTGAGTAATTGCCTCGAGTTGAGCACTCGAACAGGATTTCCTATGCACCTGTCCTCGGATGTTGAGCGATTTGCGTTGCATTTATTGGAAGGTACAACAGATACTTACCATTTTAAGTCATTCAGTACTGGTTCTGGTAATCCGAATAGGTAGTAATAATAGGTAGTAATTTAAGCTGTGTTAGTATTGCAGTGTGCGACAGTGTTATCACCCTGTTCGAATCACAAACAAGGCAAAGTCGAGTCTCCCCATTAGGAACTGGGCCTGTCTGAGGGACCAACCGCCTTGTACAATCTGATGCTGAAGTGCCATGCGTAGCGTGAAGCGTTCGGTTCAAACAGGGACTTCACTAAATGTTCAGTACTGAGTCTGGTAGTTTGATTCGGTGGTAATGGTGATCTTTGGGCAACTGTCGATGGTAGTATTGCAGTGTGCGACAGTGTAGTCACCCTCTTCGAATCACAAACGAGGCAAAGTCGAGTCTCCTCATTAGGAACTGGGCCTGTCTGAGGGACTAACCGCCTTGTACAATCTGATGCTGAAATGCCATGCGAAGCGTGAAGCGTTCGGTTCAAACAGTGACTTCGCTGAATGTTCTGTACTGAGTCTTGTAGTCTGATTCGGTGGTAATGGTGATCTTTGGGCAACTGTCGATGGTAGTATTGCAGTGTGCGACAGTGTAATCACCCTCTTCGAATCACAAACGAGGCAAAGTCGAATCTCCCCATTAGGAACTGGGCCTGTCTGAGGGACTAACCGCCACGTGTAGTCGCCTCGTGCTGAAGTGCCATGCGTAGCGTAAGGCACTTCGGTTCCGACAGGGACTTACCCCTGACTTCCCCGGCACTTCCCGGCACCTCGTGACCGTGTTGGTCACGATGCATCAGGCAACGCCGAGGAAGCTCAGAACCAGCACACACTGCTCGAAGTTGAGAGACCACCCTAAGCGCTGCTATTGTGGTAACGCAGTTGTTGTGTTGGTCTAGGCAGCAAAGTTTTTGAGTACCGATGGCAGTTCAAAGAGACACTTCAGTTGCATTAGGTAGGTTGTTGTATGCCAGTCTCAAGAACCTGTGAACCAGATGTTGTTCGGCGATACTCAAATGAAAATACTTTTGGCTCGGATATATTTTCGTAAACCATTCGTTTTGTATGAGAATGTTCGGAATACGAAAATTATTGATCAGTCGAAAAGGTTTTATTTTGACAAATCAGTGTCGTTTTAAATGAAATTGTCGGGCTTTAACATTAGAAGAGGAAATGGATACAAAACAGGGTGGTTTTTGTAATCTCTAGTATATTAATTTGAGCATTGCAAACGATATTTGAAGATGGCTTAAAATCCCACGCATAAAAATATAATTTTTATACCATCACATACCTACATAGTTTAGATACCAAATGATATATTTAAACACTTGTTTTATGGAAATCTGAAACAACGAAGGTAACAACACCCTGTGCATTAACATGACTGAGAGTGGAATGCGGGAGCTCAGAAATGGTGACACCTTGGAACTGGTGAGCCACTCGCCCAAGATCCGACATATGCAATCTGGAACATCCTGATTGTTCCATAAACTTACAGATCGCATTAGATAGCCCCCTCCAATGTGTCATGTCATGCATTGTATTTATTTCTAAAGTTTAATGAACTGGTTTCATTACCATTTAAATATTGGTGTGTACTTCTGGTAATCTACCTTGAATCAACTTGCAGTTGCAACCATTTTAAGCACCCCCTTGTTTTTTGGGTGCAATATACTATTAACAAAGAAGAACTTGTTCGTTCTTCCTATCAGCCAAAAGACGTCCTGAACGAGTGGTGGGGAAAAGTGTTGGACGATTCAAAACAGAAGTCTATTTGAATAAATATTATTTTGACTTTGACTTTGAACTCTGAATTTGGCAAAAATTTCTGTAAAGACACCTCAGAAAACTTCTCCACGGCTCTGAACACATCAGTGCGTCTGCCACTTAATATTTGGAAAATATAATCCTTGTTGAATGTTAATTAGATTTTATCAAAAAGCATTAAGGTCTTTATCAATAGATCAATCTGCAATTTATTGTAAACTAGTTCTTAACTAATTGATTCATACTTTAATTCTGTTAAGGTATTTGTTAATGCTGTAGATTGTACCATTTCTATAAAATTTAACTATAATGACTTCTATTGACGCAAATAAAGATCTTATCTTAAACCATCAATTGTTGTAGCAGAAACAAATCGCCTCAACTTATAATTTAATTTGAGCATGTTTCATCTAATTTGGTTTCACCATAGACTGGGTCTTTAACGTTATTAAGAAAAAATAATCCTTTTTGAACTTGTGTTGATTGTTTTACTATAGTAGGTACATAAAGAAAATTATCACCAGTCGTAACCGCTGCAAGTAGGAACTGTTCAGGACCGTGGGGTCGTAGGGAACGTGATGGTGGCTGTGGTTGCCATAATTGCGGTCCTGGTATGGATACTATGTGCTATTTTGTTATGGAAAAATGCACAGGTGGATTTAGTTTTCCAGTTTTTATCATGCATTATCAAAAAATGTCACTGGTTGGGGTAACAAATCGAATGCAAATCACTTACAGTTTTTCTCGCCTCTGTACCTTACTTGCTCTCTCCGAGCTGGAATCCGACGACGCTGTTCGATGAGCTCGAAGACAATAAACACGCCTGCTTCAATGCTGTTTTCTTTGTTTATTTCACTGTCCCGTTGCTCCATCGCGAAGGGAGGTTAATTTTATATTCATTTCATTTTAATTTTAACACTAAACTATATAATAATAAGTATAATTTGTGCACATTTTATGTAGGACCGATGTTTTCGCCACGAAAAACGACGCTATAATGACGGTAAGCGTTCGTGCCTAAAAGTCATTGGTTCGCTACCCGCAAACTAGATGGCAGCACAGGCGCCGGAAGTAAGAGGGGAGGTAGTGTTTTTGACCGGAAACGTCACAAAAAGGATGATGCTTGACTCTCAAGATGGATTCCGGATATCGAACGGAACAAATAATAATAAATTCAGTCAGTAAATGCCATAAAAGCAAATTTGAATTTCGCTTTTTAAAATTTGAAAACACTGAACGCCATATAGCTTCGTAGTACGCTGATATTTTAGAAGTGCGTAAAATGGGAACCCTATTACTAAGTCTTCAATGTCTCTGTCTGTCACCAGGCTGTATCTCAAGAACCGTGAAAGTTAGACAGTTTAAATTTTTACAGATGTTGTATTTATATTACCACTTCATTAACAAATACTAATAACCAGAATAAAATAAATATTTTAGGGGGCTCCCATACAACAAACATGTTTTTTTTGCTCGTTTCTGGTATGGAACATTTCGTGCGCAAGTCCGACTCGCAGTTAGTGTGTTTTATATATTTAGTTACGAGAGGGCAACTTTCATCGCTGTTTTAACAATTCGTAACTGAGAAGAACAATAAAACGGGATTTGCAGCAAAGAATGATCCGATCATCAAAGAGTGTATTTATTGGTAAATATGTGTCTTTTCCAAATGGCACATATTTACTAATTCTTCCATTCCATGGTATTATCTTATTTTTTTATTAAAAAAATATTTTTTAACTTATTTCGCCATTAAAATATTGATAAAAAAAATCTATAAACGTATTGATCTTGCTCAATATTATTTTCTAGTATGTGTACAACTGTTACGTTTATTAAAACAACAAAAAAACTGTATTGGATAAAAAATATCTTTATAAATTAAAATGTTGCGACTGCTTTTTGCTTAAGCTGTCTGAATTGTATACATATGTTTGATTTCTATTATTGAGTAAAGTCCCTTATTTAACCTTAAATTAAAATTTTAGTGACAAAATTCGAAATCGTTCGCTAACGGCGCGACTGGTCCACCAACTGATCTACTAAAATACCTTTAAGTATCTGTAATTTTTTTGGTATATGACGTTGTATCAAATTTTAATATCTGTTAATTCATATTATTCCGTAGGCGAACAGATGGTACGTCGCTTGGGCTTGCATAAATGGTCCTTCATCAGACTGCGGCTCGTCTGGTCAAGCCATGGTCATCAATGACGATATAGGATTCCATTTCAAAACATCAAAGAAGTCCAACAATGGCACTGACGTGAATGCGGGCCAAATACCGTGTCTGTTATACAACCTCATGAACCCCGATCATACCGTCCCCATCAAACGTATCGAACAAGGAGATCCTGTTATTGTGCTATCTAGAAATATATCCAGAATGGTAACAGTGTCATGCTTCCATTCATTGATAACTTTACTACAGTGGAGTTGGTCTACGTTCAAAGATATAATGTTAGAAACGAATGGGCAAATTCCAATCAATTATCAAAAGCTAACAGTGATGAAGCATCAGAAGAGGTTGGTGTACGTGATCCGAGCGTGCCTTAGACTCGTTAAATCGTATATTAATGAAATTTATCCTCAGAATAATAAGAAGCGGAATTCTCATGAATACATGTCCTACTTCGAAGCTATAGCAGACGTAAGAAATTTGATCCAGCTTATTATGTCTGATAAAACGCCATCATGCAACATGCTCCCTCGAAGAGGAAAAAATAAAACTCATAGAGTATGCTACGTACAGTTCGCTTTAGAATTAACAAACGCTATACTGAAAGAAGCTCATGACACTATAACAGCATGTTTCCACGCGTTTTTCCCAACGCCTTCGCTTAAGTGGAATCACTTGTGTTCTTTATTGTTTCACGTCAAGGTAATGTCTTATTTTATTGGACGTTGCATCTTTTAGTGAACCATTATCTATAATTTATATTTATATTCAGGATGGTATTGTACCTGCGTCTCAAGTTAGAGAACTGACTTCTACATGTGCGGCATTGTGCGCATCACGAAGTCTCCGCGATGTATTACAATTTATCGTGCCTGTCACACAAAGTGCAATGAATGAATATAGGAAACCAGAAACTAAAGTAAGCAAAGCTCATGTAAGTGATCGAGTAGTAATTTTATATTCGCATGCAACAAAAAAGCTGAACTATTGCTTTTGTACAGATAACCAAAGAAGTATCTTCCAAATCGGCGACAGTGCCGCGATCATCGAGCAAACCACCACCAATACCACCTAGAGCAAGCAACAAAGAAACACAGAAGGTAAACATAATTAGCCGCTTCCTATTTTTATTATTTTCTGAGTATGTTTCTTAAAAAATGAAAATACGGGCTGTGCTGAAATACGGACCTTGCTCTTTTTATTAATAATAATATTCTGACAATTGTGTAAGGTTATTTTACAAGTTAAAAATTACAAAGCCAAGTAGAACTTATTTTTATAATATGTATATTTAGGCTCCAGATCCGACTGAAACAAAGTCAAGCCACACGGAATGGCATCTATTAGACGTAATCCCGAAATTGTTAGACATCGTCACTATCCCGGTTAAAAAGCAAATGATGACGCGTCAGTGCGGCCAACCGCACGATCACGGTGAGATCAAGCAAGCTGAACGATTGGCAGAGTACTGTTGCAAGCTGCTCTCCAGAATAGTAGCCGAGCTAACTTACAGTGCAACTAATGTAAGGGTAAGTGTTATCATTTTCGTGTTTTAATGATGAGGTTACTACAAAATGCTATATTTATCCAATCTATTTTAACCCTTAATCTGTTGATTAAATTTGGGATTAGAAACAGCATTTAACCTGATTAAGTATGTAACGTTCTTTGTTATTCTGTATAGATACGCGTCGAATACAGCCGACGCACCGTTAGAGGTTCAATCGAATAACACACACTTATTTTTTATACGTTAAAGATCTTGACGAAATAATGATTCCATAGCCGAGTGCCTGATTTTAAGGGATAGCCGACTCTGAAGTTCCAGCACGCGTAGTATAAAGAACTCGATAAACGCTTTGTCACTACATAGTAAATATAAAACAAAGTCGCTTTCTCTGTCCCTATATAGGAATATAGGGTCAGAGCATACATAGGGATGTATGCTTAAATTTTTAAAACTACGCAACGGATTTTAATGCGGTTTTTATTCATAGATAGGGTGATCCAAAGGAAAGTTTTTATGTATAATACAAGACCACGCGGACGAAGTCGCTGGCGGAAAGCTAGTTTTCAATAAATGTTACTTTCTCGGGTCGAGAGTGAAATATCGTTTGGGAGCCCGAGAAAAGTAACATTTAGGTGTAGACAAAACGTTCACGGGGTCATCATACTAGGCATGCTTTAATGTAAAAAATAAATTGTCTTTTATCTCGGTTCTATATTATGTGTTCTGATAGACGTCCGAAGTCCATTATGAGAGAGTACGTTGTTTTCTTTCTTTTTATTTCCTTTAATGTCGCTATCTCCAGTTCCATTTCCACTGTACGTCCGGAGCGCCCCCTACCGGTTATGGTGGCTTATCTTTGGCGGGAGATAGTTAAGAAAAACTATCTCCTGCCAAAGACAAGCCGCCATAATTGTCATTGTTGCGTCGTTTTTTAGATTTAAGAGATTAAAGTAGAAAATTCTGTGTTTTACTGTCGTGTGACATTAAATAAAGTGTTATTTTATTTGAAGAAAATGTCTCCGTTCCGAAAATTTTATAACTACTAGGGTATTGGATACCTTTACATCATGAGTGATAAAAATTCACTTCGGAAAAGATCTCAAAGTTCCTCGGGTCCTTCATTCTTCATAGCGGGGGCTCACCGGATTCTTTGCGCTAGGTGAGACCTCCGCTGGCTAAAAAAGAAGTCGGTGGCTTAATCTGACCGAATAATAGAAAACGAGAGTTTTTTCTAAGCTTTGTGACATAATTGTTTAGATATATCCGTTAAAGACCCCTCAATATCTAAAGCAAATCCGGATAGGTTAGCTAAAAATCACTTCTATGAAGTTTGATTCACCTGATTGGAATTCAGTGCGATATTCGGATATTCATAAAAAATATATTGCTACCCCCGCTTTTATCGAATTAAAAGTAAATGAAGAAATGCGTCGTTTAGAAGATCGCTTTGCTCCTTCGAGATGGTTTCAAATAGAACGTAGTTTTGCGACACTATCGAACGCATTTCTAGCACAAAATGAATCGGTAAATTCAGCTTTAAAAAACCAGATTGACTGGTCTACCACTCCTAATGTACAAAATTGAAGGAATTATTTCTCACGATATCTTTACGTTTTTGCGAACTACTGTTTTCCCTTTGGCATGGGAAAAACAGTAGTTCACAAAAACTCTTTCTACAAATAAAAGAGGCGGGCGGAAAGATAGAACCAGTAAAAGACATCATAACAAAAAAAATGGCTCGGTCCTGTTTATGGGGGGATGTTTGAGGTTGTTCCACAAGAATTGGTCCCGTTTATACCCACCAAAAACGATATTAAGATTAATAACTGGAACTCGTATCCCTTTCGTAAGTCATCCCCTCTGTTATTGCTAAGCTTAGAACTAATGAACAAATTTCATACTTCAATCTCTTAAGAAATGTCGGAGGAGATAAATATTCTCATAGAGAAGAAAATTTTGGAAATAGCCCCTCTGAAGCCCTTCTTCATTTCCCCATGTTACTTCACCTACGATATTTCACATACACGAGTTTCTTCAATCATTCGACTGGATGGTGGAAGTAGACTTCCACCAGGATTACTTTCATCTGCCAATAAGCCCAGAGAATCAACCTTATCTCCGCGTCAACTACAACGGACGGCCTACCATTGTAGCTAACGTGCCCAACTAGCAAAAATATGCCGTATAGTAGTCGCGGCAACGAAAATTATTCAGCATTTTGGCTCCTAATAGAAGTCATATAAACGTAATGACAACGTTTATACAACGCGATTTGGGCCCATTTTATTCAGCAATTCAGTCACATAGGCATCGTATAAAGGTAACTTATTCAGGTAAATCGTCACGTAATTATCGCCGGAGTGACTGTTACAAGCTTATGTTGCGCTATAACTGTAACTTATATGACTTTTATATGACATGTTTGTCTTATTGAAGCGACCTGGGATACAAAACAGCTGAAAACATTTAAAGTAAATAAAATAAGCAAGTGCTTCGACGTGTTGTGTTTTAAAAATTATAATTCATCGGTAAGTACAATTTATTTAGCAGACATGTTAATTTGTAGGTTGCACCAAATGTAGGTTCGTAAACTCACGCATAGGGTTGTAAAGTATTGCGAAGGTAAGTTTTCTGAGGAAATATACTAGGTTATATCATAAATATTTAACGCCCCCCTTTAATTCTTAGTAATATGAATATAATAACAAATATTTTTATATCAATATTATTTTTGTACACCATTTTTACTGCTGACAGGCGGTATAATAGCTTCTTATAGAGCAAATTAGCAGTATGAGCGCCATGATACCACTCTGATTATAGTTTAGGGTTCCTTAGAACTTCCTAAAAAGTTTTCTAAAAAAGATTTTTTGTTTGTTTTTCCATTTATTCCAGTCCATTTTCGATAACTGTAAACTACTCACAGCATTTTACACAAAACAATCTGATCGGTGTAATGGATACAATTATACGACATTTTAGGCTTGTAATAGTCGTATAAATGCGACGTATACTACATAATAGTAGTATAAAAGCAACAATGTTGCTTTTACTCGACTGAGTCAACCTTGCCATAAGAAAGCTATATAATATGCTTTTACTCGACGAAATAGTAACATAAGCGTCGTATACTAGCGACTTATTCAGCAAAATATTATATGACACTTAAGTCATATAAGGAAGCTGACTAAACGTTTACTCAGCATCATTATGTGACCGAAATGCTGAATAACTCAAAAGCTATATAAGATGCTTTTATACGATACGTGCTGAATAATTCACACTTACTCGACTTTTATAACACCGAAAAGCTGAATAAACTTTACCTTATATGACTAATTTGCTAGTTGGGGTGCCTACCATTGGGACTAGGTGTGACTTCTTGGTTATTCGCGTCAGTGACGAATTGGGTTGCGGAAAGGCTACGCGAAATGGGAATAATAATAATAATAATTTATTTGCGCCATATAAAGTAAGTATTCGACGACTTTTTGTTGGTTCACCAGATCATAAAGGCTTTAGAGACTCGCATATCAACAGCCATCAAATTCTTAACTTATCTAGGCTAGTCAATCAACAAAGAACACAATCGATCGAATTTCTTGGAATCGTTTGAGATATTCACCACAATACGAAATCCCTTCTCTGAAAAAGCTGGCAAAGCTGCGCCTGATTTTATTGGCTCGACTCGCCGCAGACAGTTGGACCCTCAAGCAGGCGCCATGCCTCTTAAGGCACCTCAACTTTGCTTCCTTCGTCACCCACCGGGGAAGGTTGCATTGCCGAACTTTGCAGCGCCACAGCAAACAACTTCACATAGTTAAGCATATTCTGAAAGCAATATCTTTATCGAAACCAGTACTGCCTAAAGCCCCTATATGGGATGCTGAATTCTCATTAATTAAAAAAAAATACGTTACCTAATCCTGACAGCGTTTATGATGTCTCTAGTGGGGTAGCAACAATCCTCTTGCTAGCCTCAGGAAGAAGAGTTCATGATCTTACTCTTTTGCATTGTGATGATAGTCATTTCATAGATAATCAAAATTCAATTCTATTTATTCCCACTTTTGGTTCAAAAACAGACTCCGCTAATTATAAACAGTCTAACTAGACTCTTCTTTCTTGTTCCCGATAACAACATAGATCCATTGTGTTGGCTCTGAATATTAAAAATTCTGACAAATGATATCCGTGGACCAATTATAAACTTATTTATAACAACTAAAGGTTAAATCTTAATGTTTATATAATCCTGATTGTTTATTAAAATTTGTATTATGTTTCTTCCTGACGTCCGAAGTCCACATACTATTTTCCTGGTGTTTAATATTATCACCATTATGAGCCGAACAATGACAAATATGGCGGTTTGTCTTTGGCGGGAGATAGCTTTTCTTAAGGGCGTTAGGGAGCACTGCGGACGTACAGCTGAAACGGAACTGGATAAAGCGACATTAAAGGAAACAAAAAGAAAGAAAACGATGTACTTTCTAATAATGGACTTCGGAAGTCAGGAAGAAACATAATACAAATTTTATTGTAAGGTAAATTTTATCTTACAATAAAACCTTATAGTAAATTTTATTTATTTGCTACAAAATTTTATATTGTCTCGGGTCCGGTTGTTGTGGTATCTTCGTTATTTCACATACTACATAATATGAGTGCTTTAGCTACTCATCTTGGAAACTGAGCAATGTTTAAGATGTTGGCTGATATAATTAATACAAAATTGCTCTTATTTGTCGCAAACCAGGATCTAGATACGAACTTAGTGAAACACCTGATAACGCCGTCCCGTTTTATGCGCGTGAATCAGTCGCGTGCTTGGCACACAGGCAATGGTAGTCCCGACGCCGTGTGTTTCACTGTCGATCGGCCCGGTGTTATGTTGGTCGGTGTATGTGCATACGGCGGTCTAGGACACTACGAGTACACACTAGAGTTGCTTCAAGATTTAAGGGTGAGTACATACGTATGTATTATTAGTTGTGTATATCCCTTTACTCACTCAAAGCTGATAGATATTCAATAACTGGTATTACCTGTTGGGTAGTCTGTATTCAATTCGGTATTCATCGATTAACTCGCTGAACTTGAAAGCTTATAATTTGCACTTTTTACTGAAGAAGTACAAAATAGAACCGTGTGAAAAACTATCTAACTCCATTAAGTTAGAGGCACTTTTGTCGCTCACTTTTATCTATACACTTTAGACAAAGCTGTCTTACTCACATTTAGAAACCAATGTCTACTCGAGGAGTGGATCGAACAAATTTTATTTAAATAAATAACTAATTGGGTGTAGAAGTTGCCATATATCATAGTTTCACAGTGATAAATTATCGCTTACGAAATAGTGGGCACGTGGCCTAGCTATGAGAAATTTATACGTGCCTTTACTTGCTTTAGTTACGGCCTACGGCCGAAGATACAGACCCTGGACACTGTTGGGTGAGCGTAGAGGTGACACAGGGTACTTTCTGTACGGCCGATTGTCAACACGACATGGTGCAATTAAAGTTTGACCGACCGGTATCGCTCAAAGTAAGTTGTTTTAAGTCATATTTATTTTTAAGTGATTTTCTAATCGAAGGACTGTTTATAGTAAGGAATTGTGTGCCATTCAAGGTAATATAAAAGAATATTTCCATTTTTTTGTAAACTAATTATATTTTCATTAGTGATGAATATGTTGTATGTTGCAGAACACGACAATTTATA